TATATGTCCAAAGCAATATTGTCTTGAACAGAGTCAGTGATAATCTTGCCATTTCATTAAACATATTTAAGAGAATGCTCTTAATCTAAAACTATCGAATTTGACGAATGCGATTAATGATTTCCTTACTTGTAGGATTCTTCTTTGATTCAAATTCAGGTATGAGCTTGGATCAAAAATCAATATTCTTGATTTAAGGAATGTAGATGGTGGAAGTCTTTTTTTTGCTCAAAATAATGGATTCCTCCTTGGTTTAAGAACCTGTTAATTTGGAGCAAGTACCAACCTATATCAGTTATAACCTATCCAAAGGGATAAGTTTTAACTGATTCCTAGGACAACTTTTACATAACAGGAAAGTTTTCTTCGGATTAAAAACAATGTTGTCTGAAAAAAACATAATATTTTTAATGATATAACTACACTCACCGGCACAAAATTCCGCCACCCTGGAATTTCGGCCAAGTTTGATGTTTTATAACTTTTTTATTTATTATCCGATTTCCGAGATTTTGTTATCAGTTTGTAGATCCATTTATTGTGTTTTTCTCTAACTAATTCATAAAGTAACATTTTTCGATTACACTATATTATACAGGAGTCAAGCAAACTGTTGTTTTTGGTCGTAACTTCAAAACACCCTGTAGGAAAATTGGGGTGTATAATTTTATTTACATACTGTTCCTTGTTATCTTTGATGTATTCTAAACATTTCGTTTTTTGATTTATTTCATAATCTTGTTCCTGCTGCGAGCTGCAAATTTTTTACTAAAACGATGTTATTTTTAGAAAATGTTTGTCAAGCTTTTGATTAAAAACTATCGACGTAGGCTAACGCGATTATTGTGACAGAATGTTTACAGACAAGAAATTTTACTAGGCGGCAAGGCTCTGGCAGAAGGAGAATGACCACTGCAGCTTATGATCGCTTTGTCATTGTTAGTTCCACAGCAGTAGATCGAAGATCTACTGCTGTGGTCTAAAAAGTGACTTGCAAATGATTCGTCGAATAGGCACATGTGAGTAAAAGAACAATACGTAGAAGATTGGCAGAAGCTGGGCTCCATTCACGAAGGCCATCATTATGTCTACAATAACTTCCTCGGAATCGACAACACCAACTGAGGTTTGCACGATTGCATTCTGACTGGACTCCAGAACTCTATTCACAGATGAATCCAGGGCTTGTCGCCGGATGGTCGTGAGCGGGTATACAGACGTAGAAATTAAAGATATGCTGACTATACCATATAAGAACGGATCAAATCATGGTGGTTCAGTTATGATTTGGGCGGGTATTTCTACCGAAGCACGCACCGATCTTGTATCCTCCAAGAAGTTGTTGTTCCATTTGCTCCATTCATTAGGAACCAATTTACATTAATGCATGATAATGCTAAACCTCACGTTTAACATGTATTGAGCGAATATCTGGAAGAAGTTATGGAATTTCAAGACTGGAATGGCCCGCATATAGCCCGGATCTCAATCGAACATATTTGGGATTAACGTAGAAGGACCGTTCGTCGTCCTGTACAACCACAAACCTTGCAAGACTTACGACTGGCGCTGACCGAAGAATACATGAGGTTATTCTTCAAGAAAGAATAAGTAACCTTAATCATACACGTTATTAAAATTGTTTTTGTTGGCCGCGGTAATGACATTCAAAATCTCTTAGTTCTGTCACAGAACAACAAACAATTAGAAGGAACACAGAGAGAGAGATGATATGGTCACGGAGGAAGTCACGCCCGTTGGGCAACGGGGGAAATATTTTTCGTGGTAGCGCGCTACCAGTTAGTTTTATTTGTCGTCGGAAGACGGTTTAACCAGTGTGCACCACTGATATTTCCTCCGTTAGCCCGGTTCGAGGTCATAGAAAAGCAAATGGGATCCCTCTTTTTGTGTTCCATCTGATTGTTATTCTATGGTTCTGTGCTCTGACTGGTTGATTTTCTAAAAGCCTTTTCGGAAGAGAAGAAAAAACCTCACATCAGAATTGGCTGAAATTTGGCATAAACCTTCTTTGAGCGATTATCTACAATCCGAATATTTTAGCTTTTCGATATTTTGCTTTTTTCACTAAATGAAAAGGTGCATATCTCGTTGCCTATTTTCCAGGATTTAGGACTTTATGAATAATTTCCAAGAACTTTCTTGAGGAATAGCCTCATATTCTTCGGTCAGCGCCAGTCGTGAATTTTGCAAGGTTTGTGGTTGCACAGGATGAAGACGAACGTTCCTTCTAAGTTGATCCCAAAGATGTTCGATTAAGTTGAGATCCGGACTACATGGGGGCCATTCCAATCTTGCAATTCCAGCTTCATCCAGATATTCACTCACTACATGCAAAACGTGAGCAGGTTAAGCATTATCATGCATCATGCATTAATGTGAATTGGCTCCCAATGAAAGGAGCAAATGAAACAACTTATTGGAGGATTTCCTCAATGTAACGGTGGGCGGTTAGAGCTTCATTTTCACACCAAATACATAATCGATGCGTGCTTCGGTAGAAATACCCGCCCAAATTATGACTGAACCGCCATGCGATATGAGATATGCATTTGGATATGGAGTCAGCATATCCTTCATTCCCACGTCTATATCCATACCTACCCGCTCACGACCATCCGGCGACCTTGAACAAACCCTGGATCCGTCTGTGAATAGTACGTTTCCCCACTGTTCTAGAGTTCAGTGAGAATGCAATCTTGCAAACCTCAGTGGGTGTTGTCGATGCCGAAGAAGTAATTGTAGACATATTGATGGCCTTCATAAATGAAGCCCAGCTTATGTCAATCTTCGTATCGTTCTTTCACTTACATGTACCTATCAGACGCATCATTTGCAAGTCATTTTTTACACATACAGCAGTAGATTTTCGACCCCTTTACGAACTAACAATGACAAAGCGATCATCAGCTGCAGTGGTCATCCTCCTTCTGCCGGAGCCTTGCCGTCTAGTAAAATTTCTCGTCTGCAAATATTCTGTCACAATAAACGCGTTAGCCAACGTCGATAGTTTTTAATCGAAAGCTTGACAAACATTTTCTAAAAATAACATCGTTTTAGTAAAAAATTTGCAGCTCGCAGCAGGAACGAGATAATGGAATGAATCAAAAAACGAAATGTTAAGAATACATCAAAGATAACAAGGAACAGTATATAAATAAAATTATACACCCCAATTTTCCTACAGGGTGTTTTGAAGTTTCGACCAAAAACAACAGTTTGCTTTACTCCAGTATAATATAGTATAATCGAAAAATGTTACTTTATGAATTATTTAGAGAAAAACACAATAAATGGATCTACAAACTGATAACAAAATCACGGAAATCGGATAATAAATAAAAAAGTTATAAAACATCAAACTTGGTCGAAATTTAAAGGTGGCGGAATTTTGTGCCGGTGAGTGTATATTTAAACAAAACATAGCACAGAAAATGGTATAAAAATACCTACATACTTATGTGACTATACTATATAATTAACAGAAAAGAAACTTGAATTTTCAGAACAATTCATAGGTTAATTCACCCATGCATAAAAAAAAACAGTCTTAAACCTTACCTGTCTACTAAGGAAGGGCCAAATTATAATATGAACCAACTGGTAAAGGTCCTGGTTGTTATGTTACCAAGCAGGTAAATTCTATATCTAGAGAATAGAATTCACCTGGTTGGTAACAAGCAGAACCTTCACCAGTTGGCTCGTAATTTGGTCCCAAATAAAACAGGTTAAAGATAATATTATATCATTATCCCATACCATAACCGAGGGCTGAATAACGGATTTCCAGTTTTCCGACTTTATTCGCAAACCACAACCCGGACCCGATAAGTGACAAATGAAACAGAAAACACAACACGCGGAGAAATGAAAGATGTACTAATGTAGAGGGTACCGGCGTACGGTCAAAGTGGCGCGGCTAAGAGCAGCGCCGCGCGTACAAGACGTTTCACTGCCAAGAGAATATGCGTGATTAATTAAATACTTGAAATATCTAACTTCAAGACTAAATTATTTTAAAAAGAGAAAATTTCCTTCATTAAAATAAATTTGGATTCAAGATAATAGAGAGATATTGCAAGTGCTTGTCTTATTAAGGCAAGCCTTATTTCAACAGCTGCGCATGCGCAGTATCCGTTTGGAATAAGGACAGCCTTATTAAGGATAAGGATCTGCCTTATTTAGGAGAAAATAAGACCTGCCTTATATTTGCCTTATTCGAAAGTTCTTAGTCGATCGGCGATGATCGGTAGGAATCGCGAACTGAGTTTTGTTTTGTTTTGTGTTTATAACCATAGATTAATGACAACAAATTTTGATTTTTCTTGATTTTTTGTTTTTTTCCAAACTTTGAGAAATGGGGCAAAATCAAAACAGCATTGAGGTACAGAAAAGAGACAGACTCAGACTAAAGGTTTGTTTGTTTGTGTCGCACTAACTTGAACTAAGCTGTAATATCTCAGATTATGGCAGATAGACCATATAAAAGCAGGGAGTGCTGTCCCGAACAACACAAACAAACAACATCAAGGTTTACGTACGCTATAACGATGAACTGGTTTTGCAGGTTTTGCAGAGAATTTGTGTCATTTTCCTGCCACTGTTCTACGATTTTACACGTACTATATAAATATTTTGAACAAATAATTTCTTATTTTCAAAATATTTAATCATATATTCCACATCAGAAAAAAAACACTTCAAGTTCAAAGCTTAAAAAATAAACATTAACAAAAATTCGAGATTTTCAGGTTGGAAATAAGGCAGCAACTCTCAGTTGTTTTTGTAAATTTGCAATATCTAAACTTGTCATTCGAAGTAAGGAAATGACCTATCGCGTCTAAATAAGGTTTTGGCCTTATTAAGGCAGATTTGCAATATCTCTCTAATATATTGCTTCTCTCTAAGAGTTTATTTTTATCAGTGTAACCTGATACTTGAGCAAAGTCGTATTTGAAGTTATTAAAATCTATTTTCCGCAGATATCAGGCCTGGGAATTATCATAGCAGGTGGCTTAGTCCTAAGCGACGTTTCGGACTTCACCCATTTCACTACCAGCGATTTATTAGGACCTCCAATCGTATTAATTGTGGCTGGATCTATAGTATTCATCATTGCCTTTCTGGGATGTTTCGGCGCTATCAGAGAGTCATATAAGATGCTACTAACAGTAAGTATTGATATTCAATAAACCCCTTTTATTGTTTAACAACAACCAAAACAGTCCACTGGAAATATGTATCTGAATAAGGTCGGCTTGGAGATTTAATTATTTTTTTTTTGCTGATAAATTGTAACTAGCTATTCGTGTCACCATGCAGTTGAAAGGGGCTATATTTTCTACAAAGAGTGGAGCAAAAGAGTGATAGTATGTAATTTAGTATTTCATCTACTCTTTGGCTTGGCTGGCTGAAAATTACCTGTCTCATTAGCATCCTGTGATACCAACTGCCACCTTGTTGTCATCCAAAAGCCTACCTTTACGACAACTGGTGGATTCTTTCTTACTTCTTGCTTCTTCATCTCCTAGACCCAAAATAGAAAATAGTTATACCCGCAGGGGGTAGTTATCTTAGGCTAGGGTCTAACCTGCCTGTTATAAAATTCGACCTAAATTTTCGTAGTCCTCAGAAGATAGTCTAATTTATGTAAATATTTTATAGTGTCAGGATTTCAAGATTTTGTAAATATAATATTTTTATTCCCGAAAAAATGCTACTTTTTAAATATTTTCAACACAATGAATATTCCCTTTTTGCATATGCGAGCCATTGTTTTCCAGGAACATATCCATCATTCGACAAATACAAACATTAAAGTTTTTCGCAGAAATACAACTGAAAAGTGTTTGACAATCAAGTGTCCAAGCTATGTTCTCAGTCAATGCCATTGTCATCCCAACACTTGTCCACGTATGTAGAAGATGGACCTGAGATGCTTCGAGAAAAGTATCAGCAGCGCTACTTTGAAGGAATACCTGGAATAAACTTACAGGATCGCCGATCAGTATTCTCGAGAAAAGCAATTCCACCAACATTGAAGCAATGCTCATCCATCATCAGATTCGCTCGGTTTGTGATATCGTCCACATGCCAGACCCTCGTCTTCCAAATTACGTATTTTCAACTGGAGAATGGCCAATACAACCAGGGAGGGGAACTTGAACGACACATAGATGTCCTCGCGACAAACATGAAAGCATGTCGGATCGATGTTGGGGACTGGGAAGCACTAGCTGTAGAGACGAACATGGCGACGAAGTACCCATCAGGGCTGGCTGTCATCGTCATAATCATTATTATAAGGCATTGCGGGTGCGGGTGCGGGTGATACATTTCTAAACACCTTAAATGCCGCCTGATTTCGCATCCGTAAAGAAGTGTTCGTATGACTGTGGGACCGCGAGCTTTGTTTGGGCACCTATGTCGGGGTTGTCAAACATTTTTGCTAAAAATTACAGGTCCAATCGCCTTCCATACCGAAACTTTCTGTTGAAATAATCGACTTTATCGTGAGATTATTGTTTAAATTTTTGATTTGAATAAAAAGACAAATATCATAACCAGGTTATAAATTGTAGTTTGCTGGACTCATGGTGGTGATTTTCATTTTGGAATTGGCTGTTGGAATTGCAGCTGCGGTATATAAAGGCGATTTTGAAGGGGGCTTGAAGAAAACTTTACGCGCATCAATGAGTAATTATACCGAAAATAACGTGGAACAGGTTGCCTGGGATAAATTACAAAAGAAGGTAAGAATTACACGAATATATATCATAGTTTTCTAGGTGCGTTACACCCCCTTGTAAATATTCCGTCCTGTCCTACGGTAAACGTTCCTCCAGTTTGCGTGTTTAAGGGTGCTTAGTTAATTTAATTAAACAAAAAGAAAAATATGCTTTCAGTTTAAATGTTGTGGCATTGACAAGCCCACCGATTGGTCCCTACCGTCGTCAGCCCCCTGGCCTAAATCTTGTTGTTACGAACTGTCTGCTGATGATCAATCTAGAAAACCAGAAAATGAAACTCCCAAAGAAGATTCCTATTGTCAGACTCAATCATATGGAGCCTACGTCTACTCAACTGGTTGCTTCCAAAAAGTAAAAGACAAAATTGAGATTAATGCTAAGGTTTTGATTGGTGTTGGAATTGGAATAGCTTTCATTCAGGTAGGATCACAACTCTACATCCTTTGCGAATGGTTTTTGATTATCATAAAGATATTTTATTGTTGCTGAATTAGTTTTTGGCTCAGAATCCCACTAGTGTGTGGAGGTATAGTAATTTTTAATGTATTTAATTTTTTATTTAGGTCGTCGGAATATTTTTGGCTTGCTGGCTCGCTTACACCATTAGGCAAGAAACTGAACCGCAGAAATGAGAAGAAAGAAGCGTCAAGTTTGGAGTAGCTACTAAAAATATTTATGTTTATTGATATTCAAGCTTTATAAATTAATATTGTTATTTAATAATCTGTGTTTGGTGTGATAACTCTAGTATCAAATAATCTTTTCATAGTAGATATACTTAGAAATATTAGTCCATATTATGAATTCTCTTAGGATCATAAGAAATAAAATCGATGTTTGATTTTTTATAACACCTATATGTTCGAATCTATCAAGGCTATCAACTTGATAAGCATACTGATCATTTAATTGAAGGACATGCTGAAATTCTCAGTGTCATTATTCCAGCGAGTGCTTTATTCCGTTTTGTTGGGGGGCAATTCAATCTTCAAAATTCACTTTCAAACCAAAAAAATCCTGCAGGTGCAGACTCGGCCAATATGGCATAGCTACCTACCTGAAAATGTTTTATGTGTGACTTTGTAGTATTACTGTTCACCACAAACACCGATTAGAACTGAATGTCCTTGTTGGAGGATTTTTTGTATGAATTGTGAAGTTTTTTTTTTTTTCAATTTTCAACTTCCTGGACTTGTGAACGGATATCAATTTCAAGTTGTGAAAAAACTATTGTTAGTGAAATTGTGACAGCAGGTTTTTTCAGGTAGTGACCAATCGTGAAGTCGGGGCCATAGTGGTCCTTGTCTGGGAATTGTCCCACTGAGCTGTGTATGCAACATTCTCTAGCCATTCCTTCGAGCGTATCGTCCTTATTTGGACTCCATCTGAGAAGGACATTGGCTATGATTAGTCCATTTATTGTCACAATTTTACATAACCAAACAACACGAAAACTCAGACTAGTCGGTGTAGTTCAATGCCGGTAGAGGTATTTGCCCTTGGCAGTTGTTCATAAATATTGCCAGGGAGTTTTTCAAAGTTAGATTTTTGTTGGCGTGTGTCACCCGAGCCGTCATGCTCGGACCACAGGCATATGAGATTCGAAATAGACACAGGCCCACGACAGACCGTGAAGTTCAGAAACATAAGGAATACTGACTGGGACGGATATAGATCGTCCGTTAGGACAACTTGCGTGACTGCACTTTCTCCTTTAGAGATCGTGATCAGCTGGACTACATGGCGCACCGAATAACCGAGGCCACCATATCAGCTTTTCACGAAAACTGTCCATTCATTAAAAAAGACAACAGAAACATCCTGGTGGAACAATAGCCTAAATAATTTGAGAAGCTCGGCAATTATTTAACCGAGCTAAAACAGCAGGCAACTGGGAAACGTATAGAGCTGCTCTAATAAACTACAACAAAGAGATAAGGAAAGGCAAAACCAGAATCTTGGAGGAGACTATGCGAAGGCATGAAAAATTGGCCCAGCAGCGCACGAATCCAAAAAAAATTGTCGAAGGTTATGGAGTGCGGGAGCTAGGGTCGATAAAACGCCCGGATGGATCCTACACAAAATCCAGAAAAGCAACGTTGGAGATTCTTGCAGAGAACCACTTCCCAGGGAGTCTGCTGGTGAATGGCCTCCAAGACGCTGAACCCAGCGATCGGATCATTCAACCAAAAAGAGTATATGAAATGGCGTCTATCTCGTTTTATAGTTAAATCAACCAAAAAAATATGGTTAAAAAAATTTTGTTTGCAAACAATTTTTATTGTCATTTTCAACAATATATTTGTTTATTTATGATCTAAACATTTCATAGTCCCTCGCATGTTTGACATTTGGCAATTTGTCATTTGCGCACTAATAGTTTTCAATGGGTTTTCCAGTTTTATACCGGTTACGAAGGCTTTTGTGCATACCTTTGTGGTAACGTATAAACCTATAGATATCACAAAATCACCTTAGGTTTTATTGCAACAGCAATATTCCCATAAGACAACTTGTTTAGTATTATAAAAGTTTCCAAGGTGTTCAATATTACTTGAAGGCCCATATAAAACTATAGGTTTTTAAAAAGCAAACCTGGCGAACATGGCGTCCTTTTATATGGCGGCCATTTTTATGTTTTTTTGAATTGACATAAATATCTACATAAAGAAGATAGAGTATCGCATTTTACGCAATATTACTGAGCTTGAAGACATATTTCTTCAAAAATATGCTGTCAATAAATGTTCTGCATTTTAACTGCAAAAAAAAATTCATGAGGCATAGTTTTAATTTCCAGGTTTTTGCTAAAAATAAGTTTTAAAGTGCTTAAAACGAGGGCGCTTCAGTGTTAGGAAGGGTAAAACATAAAATTATTCGATAAATTTTTCGTGCCAAATAAAATTAAGTCGTCATGGGAAAATTCAGAGTTCAATATTTAGTGTATAAAACATTTTCATAATAATAACAAAGCAAGAATCCATTGCTGTCAACTTCAAAGTGAAAACAAAATATTAATGACAAGGACTCGACTCGAAATAAAATATATTTTAAGCAAATGATATGGAAATAGCTGAAACGAAAAGGGGGCGTTTTTTGTTTGGTGTTTATAAAGACTATTCAGGTTTTATATCGGTAACGAAATAGTCTAGGAAAATTGTCGATTTACAAAAAAAAATCCTACCCAAAAGAACTTTTCAGTGATGATAGGGGGAGGGTGGGTGATCATAAAACCGAAAATATCAAACATTCACCCCTCTGGCGTTTTGCGCTATAGGGGTTGAAAGTGCGCCATTGGCGATTACTTGGTACCTATTGATTTTATAAGAAAATGTTTCAGATAAAAGATGTGCAACATCATTTGATCTACAATGTTTATCTAAAGACTTTTTTGATTGAGGGCCGTCTGTGGTCATAAGGGCCGTTTGAAATTTTATAATGAAAATGAAAAACGATATGACCCGCATGCCCCCTATCATTCCTGAAAAGTTCATTTGGGTAGGAATTTTTTTTTTGCAATACATGTATTTTTCGACTATTTTCCTAGACTAAAAAGGTTTTCCTTGCCATTATAAAACTGATTTATAGTTTATAAAGGTAACAACCTCTCAGTTCCAAATAAATGGGGAGTAAAAGTTTTAAGTATATGGTGCCAAAATTTGGTCACCGTTACCTTTATAGGATTATTCATTTAAGTGCTATAAGCGTTTTATAAGAGTAACAAAAACGTTTCGCGAACAATAATTGATAGGTTCTCAGGATTTATAAAATAGGTAATCGAAACGTAGCCATTATCAATATAAAACAAAAAATGTTAGTTGGGTAAACTACTTTATTAGTTTACATAAACCACTAATAGTTGAGCAACCATAATTAATAACAGCAACCTTATTAAATAATATTTTTTGTTCTCCACCTACATATTTATTGTTCAGTTACTATTTTTTGTTTTGTTGCCAATTGAATTGTATATTTGACCATATTTTATTAATTAAAATATGGTCAAATATACAATTCAATCCAATCATTACTAATTATTGGTAATAATTGGATTAGGTGTTTAGAATAAAAAACATTTTTTTTTTTTTTCAAAAAACAGTTTAATAATTAAAGATAAAACAAATTATTTCTTAACAATATAAAATATAAACATACTAAATAGTTAGGTCTGAAATTAAATTATAATGGACACAGTATAGGAGGCAGGTATGGTATATTTTCAAATTTCACGTTATGTCCATAAGGCAATTTATACATACGAATATGGGTGGGTAGTGAAACTGACCATGTAGATACTTTCTGGAAAAAAAGCATAAGCACTATGATAAATGCATAATGTTATCTTTTTACTCACATTTTCTATTTTCCATTCAGTAAGTTTTTGCTGCATTTCAATTCTAGTTCCTAATGTTGGGAAGTCCGCTCCTTTGAAGGATCCATAATACATAATTTCCAAAATGAAAAATGTGTAGTCTTTCAACAGCTCATGAAGATAAGGCAACTTTTCTTCTGTGATTTATTGGACTGAAAAAAATAATTTAGATGGGTTAAAAATAGTATCTTATACCATATACCACCTATCCAGTAAGTTTCGCAGTTCCGAGTCTTCGCTATAATAGACGTCTTCTTTGTCAGGCGAGGTTTGCATTGAGGGTTGACCCGACACAGTTTATCAATGGGTTATTATTAGCTGGCATCTTATTAACTAAATCTGTATATTCAAGATCGTAATGAATTCCTATGTCCAAATCCATTATAGCAAAGTACTTATCTTACCAGAAAAAAACTGTATTTCAGGAACAGGAACAGAACAAATACGAGTATTTATTGTGAACTCATTGCACTGAATGTATTCCATCTAGGTATCAAACTTGAATGATTTAAACCAACAATATGTTTGGTTTAAAAAGAATTGAGCGTGAATTTACCTTTGAATTTGTTTTTCCAAAAAGAAAATAGTTCGCGAACCTGAATGATGGGTGAAATTATCATATTGAAATAGTAAAATAGAAAATATTGGGGTAATAATTACTTTCATCATAAAGTTTGTTTGTTCTGTTCAACAATAAAATAGTGTACAGTGAACTTATAGTAGATTAAATAACCACAAAGTAGTTGAAGTACCCTATTTTTTGTTTGCTTTAACAACTTATTAGTTAGATGCTTCAATAATAGTCAATCTCGACCATTTTTGACTGCTAATTAAACATTAATACTTGTTAGTGCTTCAAAAATAATACTACATCGACTAAAATGCTGGTAGATCTACTATTTTTTAGTATAATTTGACAGTATTCGACAAGTTATTAGTTACATGACAAAGTAATGGTTTAATATAGCTATTTTTGAAGTGAAATTCCATTTGGTTCTCCAACATTTTTGTTTTGATTGTAATAACAATCAGCTTTTGTTTAAGAATACTATAAATATAGTTTAATTTAACAAAATTTGCCGAATTGTTAATTATCTATTCTTTTTGGTTAAAATAACCTATACTATTTCTTTGAGTGATTAAACGACCTGGAAGGGAAGACTAGCGGACGGCCAAGAAAATAATTACAGCAGCGACCATAAAGGGGGGGTCCTATCATTCCATCCTTTCAAATCGCCTGGGGAGGATAGCATCTCCCCTGCTCTGCGACAAAACGAACTCGGGATTCTGCTACCATTCCTACCTGATAAGATTCTTCAAAGCCAGTCTTGCGTGCAACCATACACCACCAAGCTGGACAGCTACAAAGGCAGGGCGCAGAGAACTTACACCCCAATCATTCAGACCAATAAGTCTGACATCTTTCCTGCTGAAGACTTTAGAGAAAGTGCTGGATGAGTGGATCGAGGCAGAAGCGCT